CTGGGATGAAGGTTGAGGCCTGCCTTTAACTACTGTACCAAAATTTGGAGTTTCTGATTGACCATTGCTAACTTGTTAGTTTTTTCAATAACTACTAATCCAAATTTGCTCAAATTTTTAAAATTCTTTTCGTGCCTCTAACGTTAGCTAGTGATTTTAGTAATAATTTCATGCCCCTAAATTTAGCACCTGATTTTGGTGATTATCTGATTGGCTAGATAATTAGTACTGTATATTAATATCGTAAACTTCGATCTGACACGACTTATTTACGAGTAATGGAATCTAAAAAGTCAAACACTCCACGACCTATCAAAAAGCTTGAGGAATCTGTTGTGAACAGGATTGCAGCTGGAGAGGTTGTTCTTCTGTTACATATTGCAATTTTTGCAAAGCAAAATACTTAAGGGCAAATTTGTAGGTTATTCAACGGCCTTCTAACGCGCTAAAAGAGCTAATCGAGAATTCTTTGGATGCTGGAGCAACTAACATTCAAATATTAATCAAAGAAGGAGGACTCAAACTTCTTCAAATTCTTGATAACGGACATGGAATTAGAGTAAATATTGAAATTCTTTAGTGGTGCACAAGTTTTTTTCTTAATTAACTCTTATATCCACGAAGAGAGAGGATATGGCTATCGTGTGTGAACGTTTCACAACAAGTAAACTTAAGAATTTTGAAGATTTATTACACATAGGCACTTATGGATTTCGTGGTGAGGCTTTAGCGAGTATAAGTCACGTAGCTCATCTTACAATCACCACGAAAACTGTTGATTCTAACTGTGCTTATAGGTTATCATCTATAAGATCATACATTGTATTGTTTTAGTATATATTAATAGCGCACACAAAGCTGATCTCGCCAAATTAATTGATTAGAGCTTGCTATTCTGATGGTAAACTTGTTCCACTAAAACCTGGTGCCGCTGCTGAACCAAAAGCATGCGCAGGTAACATTGGTACACAGATTACAGTAAGCTTAACAACACTAATTGACACAATTATACTTTTTTATAATGCTTTCTTTTTTTTACTTTGATCATCATTATCATTAATATACAATATTCTATCAGGCGGAAGACCTCTTTTATAATGTACCAACTCGTCGGAAAGCTTTGAAGAACCCAAGCGAAGAATATGCAAGGGTTCTTGATGTGGTTAATCGATACGCTATTCATAATGCAGGTGTTGGATTTTCATGTAAAAAGGTAAAAATAATACCTTAAAATGAATTGATTATTTTTTTATACGTTGACCAAGAAATTGCATTATTATTAGCAAGGATCAACTCAAGCAGACGTGAATACTTTATCGACAGCATCCACATTAGACAACATTCGGCAAATATATGGGAGTGTGGCCTCTGAATTATTAGAATTAGGAAAACTTTTTAGAAAGCTCGAATTCAGAGTGAATGGATACATTTCTAACCCCAATTATAATTTAAAAAAAATGTGTTTCCTTTTATTCATTAATCGTGAGTTTCTATATTTTACTTTCGTGACGTTTTTCAATCATTAGTCATTTAAATCTTATAATGTGCTATTATTTTAGACAGAGCAGTAGAGAGTTCATTGCTCAAAAAAACTATTGAAAGTGTTTATACAACTTATTTACCGAAAAATACACATCCGTTTGTTTATTTGAGTTTAGAGATTAATCCAGAAAATGTTGATGTGAACGTCCATCCCACAAAACGCGAGGTTTGTTTTGATGTTCTATTGTATCAAATGACTTGTGCCATTAAATTACCGTTACCCTTAATAGGTTCGATTTTTAAATGAAGAAGAAATTATTACGGCAGTTGGAGATGCAATACAGGAACGTCTTGTTGGTGCCAATAGTTCTAGAGTTTTTTTAACTCAGGTAGGTTTTTGATATTATTTCATTGTAAATAGCAAATTATTCATAAATAACAACACAATGACTTTCTATTTCTATAGACTTTATTACCTGGTGCCAAACCTATAGAGACTAGTGCAAATGAGGCTGAAAGTTCAATTAAAAAATCTGGTAATGTTATTATAAATTTTGGACAGTATAATTATTTGTTAATACTTTTACAAGCTATTATACTAAACCATAGGCACCAAGGTATTGACATATAAACACGTTAGAACTGACAGTAGAGCTCAGAAATTAGACCGTTTTTGCGCTCCAAATGATGTATCCAATGCGATATCCCAGAACAATGCAGATAATAAATTCGATATAAGGTATTTCAAGATGCTTTACTTGCTATTGAAATGAATCAATGGCATATACAGTTTCGCATCAGTTGAGCACCTATTGATTGATCTTTGAATAGTTAACTATATAATAATATTATTACTTTTATTTGATCCATAGTTGTCATGATTCTATTGAAGGTGATAATGCCGTGTCATCAAGCTTGAAACGTAAGCGTGATCGTAATGAGGTTCGATTGACAAGTATTTTAACATTACGAAAGCGGTTACGAGAAGTTGAGCACAAAGGTACATATGAAAACCATAATTGCCTTTGCTAAACTATTAATATCAATCATATTTATACTATTTCGTGCAGGGCTTACCGAATTGCTTTCTAATCATACAATGATTGGTTGTGTTGATGATTCGTTAACTTTAGCTCTTATACAGCATCAAACAAAACTTTACATGATCAACTATAATATTCTTAGGTAACATGACACTATTTATCAGTGAAATTTATGTGAATTCACCGTTTACTATATTATTCATTAAATATTATAAATTTATAGTGAAGAATTATTTTATCAATTAACTCTTCAAGAATTTAGTAATTTCGGATTTATTCAATTATCTACCCCGGCCCCAATATATGATTTAATCATTTATGCTTTGGAATCAAGTGTTCAAGAAACCGAAAATTTAAGACCAAATCATGAAATTGCTCTGGTATCTTTCATTGCATTGAATTATAAAGTGATGTGTTAATTCATTTTAACTAATTTGTTTATAGATTATCGTTAATAAATTGATCTCTAGAAGGCAGATGTTATTAGAATATTTTTCTATGACTGTGGGTGAACAAGGTGAACTAGTCACTTTGCCATTAATGCTTAAAGGATATGCGCCGAATTTGAATAAACTTCCGACATTTTTGTTGCGCTTGGGCAGTGAGGTAATCAGAACTTTATTTAGGTTCTTACATTTGAAATTAAATATTTATTGATCTTTCAATCATCTTTTTTGCAAAGGTTGATTGGGATACCGAAATTGGATGTTTTGAGACTTTGTCTCGTGAATTTGGATTATTTTATGCACCAGAGCCACCAGATTTGTCTTTTCAAGATGCAGACGATGATTTAATGGATATTGATTCAAATAATGAAAAAGATAGCACTGTAATAAAACAAAGACAAAAGGCCGAAATCGCAAGGTATCGATGGCAAATTGAGCATTTAATTTTTCCAACTTTAAAGGGCCAGTTCATCGCTCCCAAAAGTATTGCTGAAAGTGGGCATGTACTTCAGATAGCAAATCTACCCGATTTATATCGTATATTTGAACGTTGTTAGAAATTAATACAAATAAAAGCTTAATCCATAAATCATTTTAAAAATGAGTAGCACATATGATATACGCTTTTTAAATTCAACTATATATACAAGTATATCATTATCCTATATTTAAAGAATTTTCTAATTCAACGAAACGAATACGTAGAAACAAAATTACATTTAAGTTGTGGTTTCTTTTATTCGTAATATACGGCAATTTTAATCATTATATTAACTTTGTATACTACTATTATTTACATATAGAAGGTTATCTTAGATATTTACAATTACAATATTCATAGAATATTATTCCCGTCTATTTTTTCAAGAATGTTGGATGTCACCCCTTTTTGTTTATTTATTCTCTAAAATGTTAAATTTTGCATTTTTTAGATGGCCCGGCCAAAACACAGCCATTCTCTTCCCGTCTTTGTTTGGAACTAAGGTCGGCAGAAACGATAGAATTAACCTATAATTAAAAAAAAGACGATTAGAGTTTTCGACGCTTACTTGCTTTCGTGTATACTAAACTCGTCCAAGGATAAGAAAACTTTATCCATAAAAAAAAAAAGCGGCGATCATAACCATAGTATCTGTATAAATACATAAATTTCTTAATAACAGTGCTCACTGGATAGAATGAAAAGCCATTAACTTCCAGTGGCCAGGAAATTCTAGTGTTAAATATCGTAACCTCATTAATCTAACTACCAAAATCATTTGCCATATTGTCGCGAAATAACGCCACAGGCATTATTCTACGATAATGCGGTACGAAATCGCATTTAAATCTGATCAGAATATGTACGGTTATAAATTTCAAGCGATATTTTTATTACAAAATATTTCAAGCAAAATGGCTATTGCGCAAAACAAATTTCTTTATCGTTATACAGTTAGAAAAAATCACGTGTCAAATATATGGCTTCAAGAATGATTTTGGTGGTTTAGTTTGTCATGCATCACTGAAAAAAGGATCGAAATGAGTGAAAACGAAAGCGAATTATCACAATTATTGGATATTATCGAACCCGATGCCCAAATAAAGTTGATTTGTCGTGGCCATTTCTATCTGACTTTACTAGCACTTTGCGAAGCTGAAATTGGCTGATGCCTATATTTTAAAAACCTTAGAAACTTTTTGGGAACTTGTAGTCTTTTTAGGGTTAGGCTGGAATTTAGGGTTAGAGTTGATAATAAGAGTATATGTGGATTTTAGTGGTGTTATAGGTTTAAATGGGGACCCCAAATTTTAGCACCAGCCAATTACAGCATAACGATAAGCTGTAAAAATTGAATATTTATGTCATTATCATCATCGTATCTACTAAAAATAAATTTAAAAACTTTCAACTACAAATAAAACATCTCATTCGCCAACTAAAATATGTGGGGAAATAATTTGGCATATTAACAAAATAATATGTATCTACACTCACCAACTAAAGTCAGCATAAGTGAAATAATTTGGACATATTGTAAAAGATAGTCAAGTTTCAAGTATCCACGCACATCGATTAAATCGCTATAAATAAACTTATTGCAGGGTAAACTTGAAATGCTATGTCCTCCGAATAAACAGCATTGTACAAGTAAATACAGTCTACCCTCGTTTATATCGACCCATTTGGATTGGTTTTAAATTATGTTGATAGTGATATTAACGAGAAATTATATTAAAGTTGATATATATATATGAGGGAATTTTGATATATAAAAATTTATAAAAATTTGATTTGTGGCTTAAGTTGATATTAACGAGGTTGATACTAACGGGGGTCGACTGTACTTGAGCAAATGAAATCTGCATTTATCAATAAATAAATATAAGAAAATAATACATGGTATTGTAAGATAAATCATAACAATTTTTTTAAAAAAATGTTATTTATACACACCAACAAAATCGTCATGTATTCTTAAATATTCGCGATTGTATTGACCTATGCGTGCGCACTAACTTGAAAAATATATTATGCAATATAACTAAGGCCATACAAACTTAATAAGTCGGTTCATGACATAAATTTTTTAAAAATGGGCCGGCAACCCGGCTTTTAATTTTATTTTTAAAAAATTTTATATATAGATTTTTTTAAAACCCCAACCGGATAGAAATATACTTAAATTTTTTTTAAAAACTTTTGTAAATTTGATCCGGCCGGGTTGAGAACCGATTTATTAAGTTTGTATGACCTAATTTAGAAGTTTTACCTCTAAATTAGTTTTGTCGCATAATGTGTTTTCATTTTTCTTCTAAGTTAATACGCACGCATAGGTTAGTAAAGTCAGATGGAATAGGCTTCTTGTTAATCGGATCAGATAAAGAATAGTTGTTATCCTTGGATTGGAGCATAACATGTCTTTTCATGAATACATATTAAGTATTAATACATGTATTTTATTGGTTAATATTATCTACACTTTTATTAGTCAATGATATATAGGTTCCAGTGAGAAAATCTTTCCAGTGGGATTTGTCACTGGAACCACTGGAATTCTGGAAGAATCTTGATTTCCAGAAGTCCAGTTCCAACACTGTCTTAATACGATCTTACCTCTACTTCGACATCACTCATTATGACATCATCGGTGGATTCAGATGAGGAAGGTGAGCCGTCAATAAGCACATGTCCCCGAGGAACAACGATAACCGGTCTACTATCGTTGCTTCTGTAGCCTGGACCGAATATTGGAACAAATCCTTGATTGTCTAATCCTAGTACTTCTGCAATGACCTTCCGTGCATTGTGATATGGAAACCTTGTTATTACAAAAAAGAATTAAATTTCGATGAATTAATAAAATTGTAATATTTTCAAGCACTCACCACGTGCCCTGGTATTTAATGTTACCACCCACAATGACAAATTTGTCATCGTTCCAACTTGGTTGGTAACAGCTCAATTTTTCGATCTTGAAATTAGGATTACCCATCAACTTCTTTATCGGGTTCATATGTACGAATCCTGTTAGAGCATCCCAACGGATTGTTTCGCCTTGATAATTGTACTCGTATGCTAATGAATGATTTGTTATTTTGATTACAATCAAAAATTTTTATTACATGAGAACAACGAGTGAAACATTCCTGGAACCATTAATTTTTTATTCATAATATTATTTTATCACTATATTATGCTCTATTATTCTCTCGTTTAATCGCAACTTGTTTTTTGTTTAGACTCTTCTATAACTTTGCGAAAAAAATCGAAAATAGCATGTTAAATTTGCTCACCAATGCTAGGAATACAATCTTTTCCATTATATCTGATAGTATTAACGATAAAACCTGGAGCAGAAAAAGGTTCCCACTCTCCTGAAGGTTCAGGTTCAGGAAGACTTTGTTGAATACGATTTCGCGACCTTGTGGTCTGCCTACTCTTCCCTTTACTTGAAGCAGTTTTATCTGTCCTACGTGAGGAGTTCATAAAGTCAACGCGATTTTTCCCATTCTATTTTCATGGAAGAATAAAATAAATAAAATTATATTATATAAGATTTTAAAACATCAAATATTATGTACTTTGTTACGAGTATCGTCTTTTGCCTTGACCTTCTGGTTGGGCATCTTGCGTAAAGGCCATTCAATGCCGAATAAGTTAAAGTGGCGCGTGCATCTTGGACATCTTCTTTCTTTGTAATCGAACGTACTAGAATACTTATCGCTACATATCTTGCAACGTCGCGTAATTTCTTGCTGGGCATTAACTGTTGAAGACGGACCAGCAATTACGATGGCCTTAGAACTAGAATCTGATATATCATTACTACACAAGTATGCGATAGACATCCGTGAACTACCGCCCGCAGGAGTAAACGAGCTATTACTCTGACCAGTTACTCCAAAGTTATTTGACAGAGGAACATTTACACCTTGATGAATCGGCGTATTTACTCTACGGAAGATCGTTATTCCCCATTCAACTCTGATTTCTGGTGATGCAACTACATTAACACCAGCCCAAGAATTTTCCATTTCAGAATTAAAACATGTATTTGCTGTTCTTTTCATTGATGATGATGACAAAGGATTTTGCAAAATGTTATTATTATGTTGATTTTCTGATACTGAAGTTAGGATGGACGATTGAGGAACATCTATTTGTAAATCGGATGGGATAATTGAAAGTGAATTGATCGTTGGATTTGTTACGGATCGTTGAGTTGCTGAAAATGAATGATAATTCGTATTATCTGAGCAATTCTGATTTAACAAACGACTTGTGTTGTTATGTTGACGAACAGAAGAAATCATTGTGCGGAAACTCATAGGTTCTGCTCTTGTCGGTAATGAAATTGTGGTAGTCGCGGTATGTTGCGTGATGTTACTAGTGGTACAATCAATGTCAGTTGTAGGCTGTAAAGGTTTTTCAATTTGTTTATCCAATTGTTTATTTTTTGAGCTTTTAGTCACTTTTTGTAATTATCAAATAAATATATTAGTACTGCATAACAATTACAGTCGATTATTAAGGATAAATACCGAATTATTTTTATATCAATGACAATGGAAATAATGCATACGAAGACCAGACTTCCTCCGTCGTAAAACGCTACGCCGAATAAGTTTGCCCTTATCATCGTAAACAAATGGTCGTAAACCTTCCTTCAAAACTACACCATCATCTTCGGTACGAAATGATCCTGTTTTATTTCTAAAGAAGCGAATCAAATAATTTAGCAAATAGATAGAAATAAGGCCGATTACTAGGCAGCTCACCTTTCGCATGTCGCACAAAGACACTCTTCGTTTCCGGCTCCAAAATAATTATCTCCATAATAAGCTGTTAATTCTTCACCGATTGCAACATCACGAAGAAACTTAAACGCTATTGCGTTTTGTCCAGATGAAATAAATTCCGTATTGGGACAACAATCATGCTATTTGAAATAGAATAATAATAGATTAATTATTAATGATATTAAATAAATTAAAGATTTTAATACCTACGTTAACGAATCTTGCAGGTCCCAACAATAAACACATTGTATCTTTCCTTGATGACCACATAATACTGAAATCCCGACCACCCTCTAATGCTCTTTCTTCTTCTGTGGTTAGGCTAACAAGTGTACCAGAACAATGCCGAATTTCGTCGCCTACATGCCACTCTTTCGTGGCGATTATACAAGCCTCTCGTTTCATCGAACCAGAATATCTATCTGTTTCAGCTATTTCAAAACCGGCCGTAGGTAAATACATTGCAAAATATCTTTTTGCGTGCCTGTTAGATGTTTAAATTAATGTTTTATAACCTTGCTTTCTTTATTTCTAAAATAAAAGGTTGGAAACATACTGAATAAAATCCTTTTCGGTCTCATTTGTAAGCTTGGCTGTTTCGCGGACAGTAGGTATCCTATATAGAAACGTGCAATTATCATTAATTCTAAAGTTATGAAGATTCTTGATCATGTGGGCGTTTAACAATCGATTTTGAATCAGAGTACACATCTATTATCCGGCTACCGTTATGTAAATGATTAATTATTCCGAAAGTTAAGCATTAGCAACACCTGCATTATACACAATTGTTTTGAGCTTTGTATGCCTTTAACACTTGTTCAAGCGATGCTTGTTCTCCTTAAGGAGCTCCAGCCTGTCGTTTTCTATGGAGGGTAAGCTGTAAAAAAAGACTTACTGCAGCAGCTCATGAACTGCGTCATTTAACTTGTTCAGTTGTATCACGTTTCGTTTTACAATGTCAACAAGAATTTCGCGTGAGACGTTTGTTTCACGGTAGCTGGGATTTAATTTGAATGTCCGGAACCAAAGGAAGATCTTGTCTAGTAATAAATCTGTAAGTACATCGTCGAACTGTTGAACTGTCAATAGGCCCATTTGATCACCGGGCATTTTAAAGTATCAGATAGATAAAAAGCTTGATCGCAAGGAAAAATTGCGGCGAAAATGGGTATAATCTTGGTAGACTTGTAGTTTGATAGATAACGAATGTAAGACGCAATCAATAAATGGTCGCGAAAGCAGCTGGACGGGTTTTATATTGAGAATATTAGTTACGGAGTATGTACGGACTCCTAAACCCTTTTGGGATTTTTTACATACGAGTCACCGGTCATACCCGTGTTGTAGAATTTTAACCAAATTAAGTTCCAAATTATAAAAATGTGTATTACATAATTTGCAAACAATGCTTTAATCGTTATGTACACGAATTACGATAATATTCATAATTTTATCTTAAATTATTTGGTTTTACATTGAGAAAATTTTTTTTCAAATTTATAAAAACTGAGCTTGCCTGTTTAAAAGCCAAGGAATAATATACAGTTAATTACCGATGCAACGGAATTCTTACTCCGGATTTATCGGTCTTAACAGATAAAATTTGAAATATGTAACAAAATTTAAATATAACGGATCCTAAAAAGCCATATTACGTATTATAACCCATGTCGATATAATGAATTTAATATAACGCATTGGCTAATAACTAGTTAGAACGCGTTCTTTGAGTTCTTTGACCGCGATTTACTAATGGCTATTGATCTGAAATAGGTCTTCCGTTATTTATGTAAAACCATGAAAAGTAAATTGGTTCTCATTACATGGGGCTGAAAAATAGGACCAGCAGGGTGTTATATTTAATATCTTGGTTTTCATGACGAAATTTTCAGCTTTTTTTTTAATAACGATAAATATACAGTGCGGTGTTTAACATTGGTCAAGATTTTTGTAGTAAAAAATTTTCCGATCGAATTTTGATAGTTAAATATAAAAAAAGATCTTTTAATTCCTCGCATAATATTTTAATTCTATAAGAAAAAAACGTTTAATAAAAGACAGCTTTACATGGTAATAACGTTAGAAATTTTGCCTTGCTAGCAAATAACTTTTTCATGGGTACCGTATTTATAAAATTTAATCACATGATAGATTTTATGTTGTACAAGAAGATAACAATAGCGAACAAGGGCTTTTTTATAAAAAATATTTAGATCAATATTTAATACTTATTTATTTTTTTCAATTCTAAATTAAAACGTTTAGCAAGTAATTTTTTACAAAGGTTTTTACATAATGATAACATTAAAATGTTACTATCTTTTAGTAATTAATAAATTTGTTTGGAATTTATTTTATAGTACTATGGCATGTAAATTATTATTTTGTATAACAAAAATATTTTTTTATTTATTTTATTTTTTTTATTTTTTTATTTTTTTTATTTTTATTTTTTTTATTTTTTTAAGTTGAAGTCTCTGCCTTTAGGAAATGATGTTTTTATTTAAGTATTTGAATATGAATGTTTCCAAGGTTTCTATATATAGAAGATTACAAATAGTCATACATGTACTTTTAGTGCCTAATTTAAGTAGTTCACCTATATATTACTATACAGATTCTACACTAGGTGCCATACCTGCAAGCCAATTATGAGTCTTGTTTATTTAAACTCTCTGTATATGTAGTCTAACTTGTGATCACAAAAGCATCTTTTAAGTTATATCTATCCAAAGTATCTAATGTTTTTGAGATTCTTAGAATTAATTTATTCTTAACAGAAACTTACTAGAACCTTCTATGTCTTATATACAGCTAATCTAGTTTTATATAATATGTTATATAGGTTGTATTATCATTTCTAATATATTATATTTTATAAAATAAATTAAAAAGCTTATTAATAACATTAAATCTAATGACTATTATTTTAAACTATACTTTTAGAATTATATATACTATAATATTAAGGTTTAAAAATAAATTTATTATATTTTA